GGACAGCTCGGGGCCGGCAGCTCAGGCTTTTGCCCGGATCGTGCTGCCCTGGGACCGCCTCACCTGCCCCTTTGGCCTAACGCCGCCCAGCAATGCAGCCCACAGTGCCGTTGGCCCAGACGCGCTGCTGAGCAACCTCCTGGGTAATTGTACGCTCACCCTCACCAGCTTTACTCGAGCCATTAGTTACGACACAGCTCGAGCAAAGCAGGCTTCCCGCGTCCACCCACAACTCGGGCTAAAACCAGGGCCCCTGCACTGTCAGCCCCGAGTCCAACCGTTAGCTAGCACCGTCACAGCTCTGGAGCTATCGCCCTTCGCTGCTGCGCCAGAGGTGCCATGTGGCACTGATGGAACTTATTCAGGGGGGAACTGTAGGGAAGAGAGACCCGGACTGGGTGTCCCTTCTCGGGCATTGTGTCTTCCTCTGTTTTTTCCTATTTACCAGTCATACATTAGTTGGATACAAAAGCCACCACTATTCAGCTGAGGGCATCTGCTTGTACAATGAGAGTTTGAACAGGCAGGCATCAGCCACTTTAGCTTATCTCCTAAGAATACCCATGCCCATCCCAGAGGAGCACCTCTTCTCAACTGCGTCACTCTTCCAAAGAGCTTCAAGCAAACCGCCACCAGTGACCCGGCAACTGCCAGCTCCCACAACACCCTCTTCAGCAAACACTGCTGCAGACAAAAGCCCTAAACGCAAATGGCAAAGGAAAAGAGGGCAGGGAAAGTGCGCTAGGGACGGAGCTCAGAGCAAGGAGAAACACTGACTGGTGCTTAGGCAGGATCCTGGCTGGAGACACCAGGCACTGCATTAGGTCCTTCTGAGCATCGGCAACATTAAGATGCTCTTGTCTTCCTGAGCACGGCAGACAGAAGTGGCAGCAGACCTGCTGTCATGCCCCTTCTCCCAGGAACCGGACGAAACAATATTGTAGTTTTAAGTTTCTGGGCAGCTGGACTAAATACTTCAAGCAGGAACCTAGGGAGAAGGCTGTGCCTTGAGCATCAGACCCAGATAAAGCAGGGGGGGCTCCGGTTTGGGAAGCCACGGGGCCGAAAAGAGGATTGCCGGTGAAGAGCGGGAGGCCCCCCCAGCCAGCCCAAATGGCGGTGGAAGCCTCGGCTGCACCGCGGGGCCTCAGCGCTGCGTTCCTGCAGGGGCTGTGACTCCACGGGCACCTCACACGACCGGAGAGCTGGATATTTATGTTTATAATGAGGCCCGAGGAGAAGCACTCCTACAGAAAGCCGCCTGCCAGACAGCAGCACCAGCTCTGGGCACCCTGAACCACTGCCTATGAAGCAGCTTTAGACGTTTCCCAGCTGTCACTGGCACACCTTGGCTTTTCTACAGGTTTTATCGAAAAGCATGGCTTTTTGGCTTTCCAACAGCTACTCTTCCCAAAAGGCGCTGCAGGGAGAGCAGCCAGCCTACAGAGGTCACGAAATGTCAGCGCCTGCCTCCACTACCCCTGCAGCTCTGCACAGGCCTTCCCAGCTCGTGCAGAGGTGCTTCCAGCTCCAAGCACCCTTGGGACCTGCAGCGCTCGTGGGCAACAGCCCTGACAGTGACCCCTGCTGAGGCTCCCTGAGCTCCCGAAAACCAGCTCCAGAGCATCAGGCCCTCTGGCACTGCCAGCACAGACCTGCTCTGCTCTGCCTGCAACTCGTCTGTCACAGCTGCGTGCCGGGTGACAGCTCAGTCCCAGCACACGGCGGGCCCCAGGATGGCCACAAGGCTCCTCAGCATAGCGAGGGGACATGACGAGGTCTTGAACTGACACTTTATTCACAAGGTGAAACTGATCTCTGCCTCTCTATTCCTCCCAAAAAAGCTTTGGTCTTACCTCACCATCTGACACAGCCCCTCTGCACCTGATTTCCTTCCTTTAGAGGTACAGGCAAGAGAGAAACGCCCTTTCTTTTACTCCCAGAATTTACATCAAAACAAGCCTTGTGTTTTATAGTAACGCCAAAGCAATGCATTAAGAGTCAATGATTCTTCAAATAAAAGGGAAACTTCCTCGCATGCACACAAGAGGGAAGAACAATGGGGAACTGCCAATGGCCGCACTGCGTGCTCAGTCCTACTGACAACACCTCCCCTGCAGCTGCACAGCACAATCTCTCCCCTCCCAAAGCTGCCAGCTGCAATTGGCAGCTGCGTTTATTCCAGTTGGGCTCTCACAGGAATGGGCAATTTCCACCCAGCACCCTGCGTTTCCCCGGGCCCCGACCCTGAGCTCTGCTGAGCTTCTGCAGTGCCCAGTGCAGCCACACCACCAGGAGCACTCATGGGGCTGGAGGCTGCACAGGGTTATTTGTGGGGTCTCCGTGGCCAACGACGGATGAAATAACTAGTGCCTGCAGAGGCTCTGCACTGAGCGTGGGGGCTGTGGCCGGGACAGCACTCATGCTGCAGCAAAGAGTTTTGTGGCTCTGGCACAACCGTGGCTCTGCTCACCACCTGGGCACTGCCAGGCAGGACTCGCACCACAGGCAGCCGGGCACAGAGCTCCTCGGTGGCTGCAGCCCCTCATGGGCTCATTCTGCCTCTCTGTCTCCCCGGCTTGCCTTGCTGTGATGCCCACTGCCGGGAGCGGCGCCCCACACAACCTACCCCGGGCTCAGCCCACCCCACAAAAGCCCCCGCAGGGCTGGGCTCCTGCCAGCACCTGAATGCAGCCCAGCAACCTGGGGCTCCAGGGAAGAGGCGCTGCTGGGCCCACTTAGTCTGCCTGCGCTTGGGGTGCCTCATGACTACTTTACAATGCCTGGCCCATCACCCTTTTTTTAAAGCAAGGTGCCCAAAACCTCTACCCAGCCTCAGTTAGATGCTGCTTTTGGGAAAACTCCTTTGTCCTTTCTTAGAGAGGCTGCGTTTATTCCAGTAGCTGATCCTGTGCGTTACCCACAGCAGCCCTGACCCTTTTCACTGCACGTTTTCAAGCTTTTAACTTTCTCAACCGTTTTCCTACCTTTTTGCTGATAAAGCCCCTAATTGTAATCACAGTAGAGGAAGATGACTCACTCTACGTATCGATCAAGAAGTGTTTGTACTTGAGTCTAACAGTTGAGAAATCTTTTCCTTAAAAGCTGGACATCCACTGCAAAGTAGATCCACGGGGCCCCAAATTATGTTCAGTAATCACCGCTGTATCAAACTGCTTTTCATTACTACCATCCACACCTGTGGATGCTTTAGGATGCACCGGGATACCACCTGTGTTTGCTTTAAGATTATCATTATCCCTGCAGAAAATTAGTGACCTAGAGGGAAGGCAGGTGAGTTATGGGTAATTTGAAGGTCGCACATGTTGCAGTGATTTTATTGTTTTATTATTTTTTCAATTTCAAGGTTTATATGCCAGACATGCACGGAATCTCCCTTGAGGCTCAATCAGGTACAGACAGCTCTGTTAGTTTTCACAGTGCCAAGCTCATACGTTCCTTCTATGTCACGACCAAACCAAGAGTTGTCCTCTAGTTTAAAACAGAAAATGGTAAGCCGAGGCAAAATTAAACAGGGAGAAATGAATCACTCCTCTGTTTAGAATCGGATTAGGATTTAAGAAAATAACCCAAAGCTTTAAAACAAACAAACAAAAAAACCCAAACCAACCCCCAGAGGATATTTTGATGCTAGCCCTGCTGGTGCAGCTGCTAACAGAACTGTTTTCCAACCAAAGTGCATTAGCCCAACCAGTGCGTCAGCACAGTTTACCCAGGAAGGCTTTGTGCATGCACAGCATGGTGTGGGGAGGTGGGGAGTGGTTACCTTTGGCTATATTGATTGGAGGTGGGTTTGGTAATTCTGCTTTCTGCAAAAATAACAACGCTTTTCTGAAAGCCAGGTGGAGAGATGATGTCATTGGAGCAGCTCAGTCTCAGGGGAGAAATCCAGCAATATCTGACCAAAATAAAATTGGAAGCACAGGCTCAGTGTTGCTGGCCACATCCCCCATTCAAAAGGCCCGCGGGCTATGTCCATTCCTGCCCCCCCATGCCACCCCCACCATACCCATGTCCATGCTAGGAGCTACCAGAAGACTGAAGAGCCTCCCTGCTCACCCCAAACCACCTCTGGGTTGCAGGGGGTCAGCTGGCAACAGCAGAGCAACTGCCCCAGTGCTCAAAAGAGCCTTTCTGGGGGGACACGCTGGGCACAGACAGGACTGGCTGCCCCCAGCTGGCCTTTTGCAAAGCTCTCCGCCCTGGGGGGTATGAGCCTAGGCAGATGGAGCAGGCTTTTGTGAGAAACTAGCCTTCCCTTAAAGAAATAAAAAAGAACAACAAAACCCACGATCACCACTAACTGCTTGCTGGTTCACACAACCTGAGTCCAGGAGGCCTGACACAAATCAGACAGGGCAGTAAGTCAGAGCTCTTCACAACCTTGTTCAACAGGAGAAAGGGAAGATGGTCCTCCAGGAAACTCCTGTCCTTTCCTAGGGCTTTGCAAACACTCAGTCACAAGGCTGTCTGATGATCGGCAATTGCAGGCAAAGCCTAGGAAACAGAAGGAAAAGCAATGCTGCATGACAGGCACTGTCTGGCCTTGGGGACCCAGCGGGACAAAGCCTTTGGGTGGGACCTTTCAGCAGTAGGAAGGACAGGGGAAAGAGACTCAAGTGCCTTTGACAACGAGGATTTTCTGAGTCCTATATGGGACACTTATATTCTAATACTCTTCACTCTAATTTCTCTCTTTCACTCTAAGGAAGTGAAACAGGCCTTTGCTTTAAAGGAGAGAGGAAGAACCAGACTGTGTTTGCTCTGTAGCTCTGCAGGGGATGGGCTGAGCCTGTCCCTGCAGAGCACAGCAATGGGAACAGGTTGTGGAGGTGAGGAAGACATTTGGAGGCCTGCCTTGCCCCTGGTGCTGCCTGGGCTGTCCCTGGTGACTTCTCTTACCCAGCAGCCCTGGTCCTTGCTCTGCTCTGTGGCCGTGGAGGTGAGGCGCTCTCTGGCACAGGACTTCTCCCTCACAAGGCGGCACCCAACGCAAAGGGGCCCGGGCTTTAACCACAGCCCCTTCAAGCAAAGGGAGGAAATGTTAGTCTGCTCTCCTTTTTTACTTTCTGCTTGGCTTTTTAAGGTCTTCAGATCCTCGCTGTGGGCTTAGACACATTTACCTGTCATTTACCTGTCAGGATGTCAGATCACTGTTTTGGTGGCTTGAAAAAGCAATAGGTTTTAAAGGGAGAAGAAGAGGCAGGGCAGCGAGGCCTTTTCAGGAATAAAACATTTCGACTGTTTGTCCTTTCTAGGGAGCTACTGGTTTAGGGGTTGTTTTCTCAGGTGCCTCACCCACATCAGCGTGTGTCCTTGTGGTTGTTTTGCACTGGACGTAGAGGTGCAACTGGATGACGACCCCCCCAGAAACTACTATTCCTTATCTTCCCAAAAGAAGGGTGGTGGGGGGTGGAGAAGTAGTGGTGTTTGATGAAAAACAATGGAGCAACTTGAAATAAAGCAGCAGCACGGTGAACTACCTTCCTTCTTCTGGACACAAATTACCTAGCAAGCTAAGGAAGCAAACGAAGAGGGAATAGCTCAGAGTGCAATTCTCAATTGCGTGCAGCTCCCTTTGCACCCCTGTGGAGGCGTGAGGCTCCCTGGCCAAGCGTGAAGTGATTAACTCTAGGGTTCAGACCGATACGGGGTGGTAGGACAGGGACTGTGTCAAAGCGAGACTAAACCCCAGTGTTTTGGGGCTTATTCCTCCCCTGCGCTCAGTCGGTGCCTGTGATGGGCAGCGCTTGACTAGTTCCCTGTTAGTGTGAGGGGAAAGGTGCTGCTGAGTTTGAAGGAAACCCAACTAGGTTTTTGTGGCTCATCTTCTTGGCAAAGGAAAAGAATTCCTGAGGGTGTTTCTGCAGCCTCTTGACCTGTTGCGCATGGAGTGATTTGGGAGCAGGACTTCATGCCAGCTCTTCTCACAATGATTGCATTTGTAAGTGCTTATTGATGTTTCTCCCATTAATGGGAGAAGGATTTACAGGAGCACAGAGGGGAGAGTGCTCTCCAGCAGGCAGTTGAAATGCTCTGTGACCTTGTTTTCTTAAGGGTCATGCTCTGCCCTCGAGCAGCTGAGGTTTCTGTTTCTTTCAGAGGGAGCTCAGCCTGCGAGTCCAGGTGCCATACAGTTGTGAGCTGCCTCCTAGATGTGTCTGGGGAGAACTTCCATCCTGTCCCCAGGCGGCCTTTGTGGCAGTGGAGGGGGAGGATATGTTCCCTTTGTGCGGGTGCCACCAGGGGTCTGAACTCTTCACCCCCCCGAGAGGCAGCTGAAAGAGGACGCGAGGTGATGGTGAGTTAAGGTATTTGGCCTGTTGAGAAGGTGTGCGAGTAGTGGTGGTGGTGGTGAGGTCTGGCTGGTACTTGTGGGGGTTAGTCTGTCCCTGATTTACTGCCTTGCATTCTCCTGCTTTTCCCGATTGCTGCCTGTGTCCTTGACCCCTGTGCATGAGAGATGGGGCGGCTTTTTGCAATGAATGCCGGGACACTTGATCCGTGATCTGGTAAGGTACTACAGAGGCATGTGCTCACCCAGAGGGGCCTCCCCTCTGTCTCTGCCTTCTTCACGCCGCTCTGCAAGCGCTTGTGTCCGTTGCAGCCAGAGTCCCTGGCACTGCAGCCTGAAGGCTACCCAAATATCACTTTGTTGCACTAAGATTGCATTTGTTTTTTGTCTCTGGCAAGTGAATGGCCCGGGATGACTGTTCAGTGCAGTTCAAACTGTGCGGTATCTAGGCTTGAATCCCATTTCAGTGGCATGCTCCTCTTGCAAGGGTTATGCAGTCTGCTCCTGTGCCAGATGGGGGATTTTTTGTGCCTGGGTGGGTGGTTCTCAGACTTGTTCTTTGGCCTAGTAGGGACAAGGCTAGATGTATATGTGCTCTGCAAATTGCTTGTGTGTCAGTGAACCCTTACCATAGACAGGTACATATTCAAAGATCCTGGCAGGGACACCAATACATAAAAAGAATAGTTCGGTCAGTTTGATCGACTTGGTGATTTGACAGTGCAGGATGACACCTTTCATCTTGATGTCTCCGATTCAAATCCAGGCCAGGAAGCTGTTGCTCTCAGTTATGTGGCAGTATATGCAGAAGGCTCTTGGACAGCGTGTGGAGGGATGCTGCACAGGAACCTAGAGAAGTAGGCAAGGGAAGTTAGCAGCATCCTCATGAACGCATAGAAACATCTCCAAGCTCCTCCAGAAGCACCAGTGTTCTAGGCCAGTTTATTCACAGCTCATCTACTCCCAAAATCCCAGTGGCAAGCAAGCTCAGAATGGCTAAAGGGCTAGTGCAAAGCAGCATGGCACTATCTGCTGTTACGGCAGCTTGTAAGAAGCCACATTGGGGCAGAGCAAAGGCTGGCTCAGGCTGGCCTTGGGTGCAGCTGCACTATTTAGTGCCTGGCAAAGCTTACTTACCAGTGTGGCTTTGAGATCAACCACCTTGTATAGGAGTGGAAGGGTCCCACAAGCCCAGTCACGTTTCCCCACCTGCTCTTACTTAAGTTTTGCTCTTTTCGGCTACTCTTCTCCTAGTTCTCCACAGAAACAACTCCCAGAAGAGTTTGATCTATCACTCCCAAGAAAAGAAAACACTTTTTTTTTATCTTTACCAGAGTTTTCCCACAAGCTCAGAGGTTCCACTACAGTTAGTGCAATCCTTGGCTTTCCTCCCAGAATTGTTTCTCTTTCCTAGAGGTGTAAGCTGAGTGGAAATAGACCACCTCTATAGTGCTGGCCCAGCAGCAGCAAAAACACTCCTTGTCAAGTGGCTGCAATACGGCTTTCAGTCCAACTTGGGAAATTCCTGCAGCACACAACTGATGTTCCAAGGCCTCCAGGCTGCATCTCCTAAGACCCAAGACGAAAGAGGTGACTGGTAAAAATGAAATCCTGCTAACCTCTTGGAATGCCTAGATGACTTCCCAGTGCTGAAACAGCTGATGCTTTGAGGGCACCTTTGGGACACAGCCTATAAATTGTCTCTCGCTGCAGACATTAAAGGGATCCAACTCTGTACAACTGCATCAATATTGGGAAACTGCACCAATACTAGGTCTGCTGAGCACCTTTCCATCTTGCCATTAGCCTGTGCCCCCAGGTGTGGAAAGAGACACCAGTTTGTCACCACTGGTGACAAAGCACATAATGTCCCCATAAGCAAGCAACACAGCAAAGCCATTGCCACTGAAGACAAGACATCTTGTCAAGACAAGAAGCAGAACGGATGTCACACTCATTCTGCCATGGGATTCTCAGGCTTTTTGTCCCAGGAAGCTGAGGGATTTTACTAAGGAAGACTTGCCATCGTTACAGACTAGGTCTCTGGCTGGTCCCCTTCCTCTGCCTGGAAAGGAGAGGCGTGGCACCTCCCCCTCAGGTATTGGTAGCTTCTTCAGAGTAGTCATATCTTTGCAAAGAGGGACCAGAGGGAGCCAAGCCCCAGGAAAGAGCTGGCACTCAGCACTATCAAAGAGGTGTGAGCAGCTCTCCCAAGTGCTTGGGGCAAACCAGGTTCTCTCTTCTCTCAGAAGAGAGAAGCACATCCCAGACAGAGGGAGGACGGTCCCCCTAAAGCACCAAAAGGCAAGCCTGGGAAAGAAGCTGAAAGAAAACACAGTTGAATCACTGCAGCTTGGCTCACTGCAACTTTCAGCTCTGCAAGAGAAACCAAACTGCCGTGTGTCAAACAGCTCCCAGGCAGCCAAACAGGGAGAAGGGCCCACACAAAGACAACGGGGATTCAAGCTGCTTACTGCTGTATGAAGAGGCAGAATGCAGGACCGATGACCACCAGCAGGGGAAACGAGCTAGGGGCCTGCACTTCCAGTCCGCTGCAGCCAATCCCACCAGCCAGAGCTGCACAGAACCTCTGCTCAGTCACAGCAAGGACATCCTCTCGGGCCCATTTTGGGCCATCCTCTTTCCAAGCCCCCTTCTGGCCAGGGAGCTGGGACCATCCTGAATCAAAGGTCACTAGAGCTTCTGGAGAACAGCAGTTCTGCGGCTCCCAAGCCAGACAGAACACAGAGCTCCTGAGAGGCCTGCCCAGCTGCCTGGCTTTTCTCCCTGGCAAACATAGTCAACACCCTCTGCTTAACAAACCACTCAGCATTTGGCCCACACTCACCACAAATTATACCTTCACAACTGAAGGGAATAACAGGGTTTCACCTCCCTGCTGGCAACAAGTCTCTTCTGTTAGAAACCCCTTCAGTTTTACACATCACAACTATTCATTTCTGTTGACCCAGGCAAGGCATCTCTGCCAGACCACCACATTTGTCCATGTGCAGAGCTACCAGCCTCTTTAGTTACTGTTTTTGAGCCACTGAAGACCCAGCCCTACTTGTTTCTCCAAACAGAAGACACCTCAGGCTCTTAACTGAAGACCTCTGCACACAGACCAGCAACTCAGAGTAGAAGCACAGCATTTCATCCATACGGCATGGTGAAACAGGCATCGCCGATACCCAGAACCCTGGGTATTCTGAATGCGCACTATGCCTCAAAGATGCGGCGAGCTCTTTTCAAATCTTTCTTTTTAGAAATCAAACAACTTTTCTTTCTGCTAGGATGTTTTTCAGACAAGCATCTCCAAACTTGTTTCCATAACATCCTCCTCTTAAAAAGAAACTGCAGGTCTCTCCACTTAGCAAAGTAGCTGCAGGTTTTGTCAGAAGGGCACACGGATTGTACCACTAGAACGTAGATCTGACTACTTCTCCCAAGGTTTCAATATTTTGAACCTTTCTGTACTTTGCACCTTACAGCAATTCAGCCTAGGCATCTTTAGAAAACTGCAGGCAAAAACCGTGTTCCCCCAAACGCACATCAAGCCCTTGCAGACAAACAGGCAGGGGAGTGCCAAGCCCATGCTGCACCTATTCAGTCACCCACTGGGTACCAACTCTTCACACACAGAAGTACACCCTCACACACAAACATTTGCGAGGGACAGTCTATCCCAATGGAAACACCTGCTGCTACTACCAACTCCATGCTTCTTTCCCACCTTGCAGCTTAGTTACAAATAGCTGTTCATTTCCTTTCTTCTTCTAATACCATGCTTTGATACTGTTTACGTGTATGATTTATACTGTTTATACTGCTTCTGCGTTGTTTATACTCTGCTTTATACTGGCTGCAAAAGAGCTCTTAGTCTGTGTGCGCTGCCTCACAGCTCAAGGCACTTTTGGGTTACAGAAATAAAAACACCACACAAGCTTTTCAGATTCATATTACTGTTCAAAAGGCCAATGCCTGCACTAGCTGTGTTGGGCTAAACACAAAGAGATTGTCACATCCCCTAAAACCAGAGCAACCCTCCCAAGAGCTATTCTGTTTGGAGGACAGGAATTGATCTGAAATAGCCACCACACCTTGTGTCCTCCAGACTGAACTGACTTCAGCTGATCCTAAGAAAAAACTCCAAAGCCTAAGGGACCCAGGCCTGACTGAAGGGTGCTTTTGTGATACCCTCATCTCTTTGCCAACAACAGCTTCTTTTCCAGGCAGCGCCTAAGAACAGAAGGCAGTGAAGGTTAAACAGCAAACTCCCAGCAAGCTCCCAATTTTGCAGTTTCACACAGCTCAGATGCCCCTAGGAAGAGGGGACTGCGCCCCAGCTCCCCCCCCCCGCCCCCCCCCCCCCCCCCCCCGCTCAAGGACAGCCTGAGCCCTTTTCTTTGGCTGCTGAGCTGGGGCAATTCTCTTATCAGAGGATCACTCAAGAGCCTTGCCCAGCCACAACTACCTCCCACAGGGAGCTCCCCAAAGAGCCTTTTTTCAACCAATCAAGCCATTTTGTTTAAACAGCAACACGACTTTGGAACAACAGCTCCCTGTTTCTGAAATTAAATTAACCTTTCAAAGAGGGAAAATGTAAAGCAACTGGTCAGACACACAAAACAGAGACAAAAAGGCTCTTACCCTACCCTGCCTGGTTCAGGGCACCTCCCCAGGGAGTCCTACTTCTGGCTTTGTCTGAAAGTGGCTGTGCTCACACTCGGGACCCCTCTGTCCTCTCAGGCCCTGAGCAGCCCCTTGTCTCACCTCTACAGCTCCCCCAGCTGCTCCCAGCTCATTTCAGGCCCTCCCTGCCAAATCTGCGTCAGGACTCCAGCCTGCCATGCCCTGGGCGCTCCTCAACTCCTCTGTCTCCGGCATGCTTTGGCGGTGCCCCAGGAAGGCCTGAGTGCTCTACCTCTCGCAGCTTTAGGGCACGCTGCCTTCAGGCATGCCTGGTCTGGTGTGGGGGTGAAATGGGGAAGGCAGGCGGGGTGAGACAGCGTGAGAATAAGCCCAGGAGATGTTATCTTGCCTGGCTGACTGAGGAAGCTTTGCTGTCACACTGCCTCATTTTCCCTAATTAAATGGGCTGCATGCATGTGCTCCTTGGAAAGCTTCATTATTGCCCTCCTTGGCTGCTCTGCCCTACCCTTCTCTAGCCTGCTCTTCTACCTCTTTCCCAGACGAGGACTCCAGGCAAAAATCAGAGCAATCATGCGCTGAGGCTGAAGGTGCTCCCAACATTTTTTCCTGTCTTGACCTGCCATGGGGATCCCCAGGAGCCATTTCCTTTACAGTAACAAAGGGAACTCATTTGACTCCAGTAGTGAATGCATACTGCCACTTCTCCCTGGCATGGGCCAGTCCATCTTCTCCATGTACTTTATACTTCCACATTAATGTGCTGCTGACCACCTTCCTCCCATCTAGTGGGCTATGCCTCGAAGCTTCTTAAGCCTTTTATGCTTCTTGTTTCCCCAACTCCCAGGATTTGTGTAGAAGTACAGGAGTAATCCCGCTAGCCTTCATTTTCCATGCAACCTGCTAAACCTCTGCTCCCACTTATCGTTTCCTATTTTACCATCATCAAATTCTGCCCTCCCTGTTCGAGGGGTCACTGACCTCTACAGCTTCGGGCGAGTGTGGACAAACTGCTTGCCCCGCCATGTGCCTGTCCCTCTGGTGTAACAGTCTCCTCCCAGGGCCCTTGTGATGGCAGGAGGCTGCAATCTGCTTCCCTTTCGGGGCCAACCACACTGACCCTTCCTGCACCCACTCTCTCCACCGCAGGTTCCCACGATTTCTGACAATTGTAAACTCCTCTTCCTCAGGCACTGAGACTCAGCCTTTCTGCCTGCTGCTGCCAGTGGCAGCAGTAGCATTTCGGAGAGGGCGCCTAGCCTGCAGCTGCCCAACACCTCTTCCATAGACCATGGGTATCAGTGAACCTGCATTTCCTAAGAGCTTGTTCAGAAAGCGCCTGCAACCTCTCGCCTTCACTCTGGCTAGCAAGCCACCCTTGCAGCTCTTTCTGCAGCTGTACTTTACAACATAGCTGTCGTCACCTCCCCCCCAACCCCACATTCTCCTCCCTCAGTAGCGCCAGGGTCGGACAACAGTGTCACTGAACGCGCTGCTGAACAACCTCCTTGTTTCCATGAGTTTATCCAGAGGAGATATGCAAAAGAGTTGGTTTCAAGGTCTTTAGTCCATTCCCCCCATCCCCCCAGCACTACCTATTTGGCAGCTCCTCTAGTTACAGGAGTGCTCCTAATTTTCCAGAGAAACCCCTGTTGCACAGGTCAATCTACTGGCACAAAGTACATCTGCTTGGGTGCCGGGTGCCCTACCTGTATGCACTAGCTGTGACCTGGCATCCTGGGCAGGAACAGGAGTGCTCCTTCTCCCCTGCCTCTTTGGCTTGTCACGTGTGGATGGCGCATGCCAGGTTTGCCATGTGGGGAAGGCACATCAGCAAGAAATGTCAGACCTGGAGCTGCCTCATTTCATCAGCTGCTGACAATCTTAATTATCTGGCTTTGAGCAATCCACCTTCCCTGGGCTTGCTGGGACACTACATTTGATGGACAGGAGTACCCCAAAATTCCCACCAGGCAACTCCTGACTCCCACCTCAAGAGCAGAGCCAAAAGCCCTCCCAATCTTTCCTTGGTTAAAGAGAGCGGCTGAACTTCTTAACATCATGCCGCCCTGTTTCACAGCGTTTCCTCTTCCGAAGAAGGAGGAGCCCTCTAGTCCTGAGTCCATTGATCCCCTATTTCTGATGACTGTAGCACGCAGCCCTCTTCCCTGTTTTGATACGGTATCAGCTCAGTTTATCAGGGCATAAATACAACCTGCCCACCGACTCCAGAACTCTTCCCTTCTGGCCAGCTGTCCCTGCAGAGCAGGCGGAGGCTGTGTCTGTCATCTGTTATTTCAAGGAATCTTAATAGCAGGTTTTAAGCTCGTATTTACTTTTTCAGTCTGTGCAGGAAGTCTGAGGTATAATTCCCCTGGCACCCCTGCATTCCGGCTCCAGGCTCAGGCAGGGACGGACTCTGTTTTGTCAGTGCAGCCATACTGCAGCCAGGAAGAGGAGCTGATCCCTGGAGCTCATCGCCACAAACGTGTGCAACTGAAACCTCCAGCCATGCTGAAACAGATATTATCAGACATGTACATTGATCCTGAGCTGCTGGCAGAACTCAGTGAGGAGCAGAAGCAGATCCTCTTCTTCAAGATGAGGCAAGAGCAGATCAGACGGTGGAAGGAAAGAGAAGCTGCCGCAGACAAGGCTCCAGCCAAGAAACCACCATTGAGAAAAGGTAAGTTTTTGCCTGCCAGCTGCTTCCTCCTTGGACACAGATCTGACCAAGATCCCGAGATAGAGGAGGCAATGTGTCCCCAGAGTAATTTCTTCTCCCAGGACACATTACTCATATTCCCAAATTAGAACTAAAACCATCTCCTATGGGGGTTCTTCTGGCCTGGCATCCAGCTTGTTTCACTCCCTGGCCCAGGCCCAGACACACCGTCCTTCACCGAACCACTAAACTCCCCTTCCCAGGAAGACATGGCTTATTTGTCCCCTGGGTCACGAGATGCATCTCATCAGTGTCCCACTGAGCGGAGCCTCTGAATCTGTGTATAAAATAACCACGGACATGAATGCCTGTCCTGGAGTGCCAGCAACAAGCCTGCGTCATACGGGAGCTTGGCGAGTGCCACTGCCTGGGCTGAGGCACCAATCTGCTGGGGGTTGCCTGTTAGGCTTTTAGACCCGAAATCCCCTTGCCAGGATTACGCAGCATGCTGGCTCGCAGAGCCGAGGAGTCCTCTTCCCCCAGCCGTCTCCTACCTGCTCTGTTTGCCGGTTGTCCAGCCTCACACAGTCCCTGGACAAGGCATTTGAAGAGGGCAGTGGCAAGGAAGTAGAGGAAGAAAGGAAATGGCGGTATCTCCTCTCTTCCTTTGGGGCTCAGAAACATCTCCTTTATTGACAGAGAACGACTCTAGCTCCGGCACTGTGAAATGAAACGGGGGGGAGGGTCCATGCTGTGTCCCAAAGGAGCTTCTAACAGGGATGGACCCTGTCCACAGATACCTCCCTGCTTTTTCCCACAGAAGGCTGTTTTTGGGAAAGGCTCTGCCAGTGGCAGCAGCCAGGGCACAGCATGTAGGATACAGACCCTGCATGGGGCTGCTAAGCAAACAGCATTAGTGAAAAGGCTCCTTCTCTTCCAGCCAGCGCGAAGTCGGTGAAATGGAAGCTCGGTGCTGACAATGATGTCTGGGTCTGGGTGATGGGTGAGCATCCATCAGATAAGTCGTATGCTGCCATCTGTGAAGAGATCCAGGCACAAAGGGCAAAACGCTTAGCGAGCGAGCAAGGCAAGGAGGCCAGGTAAGTATCCCTCACCCAGAGGACACACAGAGGAAGAGACTTCTCTAGAGACCCAGGCCGGAGTCTCCGCCGTGGAGGCTCTCCTCTCTGCTCTGGGAATTTTCCTCCTCAGGCTGAAGCAGGTGGACAAGTCTAACACGCACATTGCGAGCAAGCCTGAGCCCTTTATAAAATCATGTTTTGCTTTCCTTTGATTTCTGCCTTGGGGCCAGGCAGCGCGTGGTTATCTCTGTCCCACTCTGCTTGCAGAGCGAAGGCACAGGGAAATGTCAGCTTTCTATGAGTATGGGCAATCCTGGCAGAGACTCAACCTCCAACCTAAGGGCCTGCCCTAGCTGTTCAAGTCTCCCATCATATCGCTGCTGTGCGGCAGCCTCTGAAGATCATAGGAGATGATATGCGTGTTACTGCAGTGGGTGATGTGTTTGGATTGCACTGATTCATCGACAGGTGTCTGTGAACAGCCGGACGACAGTTACTCACAATGAGTAACAACTTTTAACTATTCCCTCCCTGTGACCTGGAGATATGATAACTGTATGCCTGCACGGCAGCGCTCTGATCACATGTGATTTCCTCTCAGATGCTTAGGCAGCACAAAGTTACTCCCCTGGATTCCTAAGTCCTGTCTCTCTTGCATTTCAGAGAGACTGACTCTTCTGTAACATGCTCTCTGCATCCACAACCGGGAGTCCTGGGTGGGATGGATGTTCGCAGGAACAATAAAAGCAGTGTGGAAGAGCAGAAGGAAGATGGGAGAAAAACAACTGCCACTAGAACAGAGAAAAGCTGGGAGCTCAGAGAGGTACTTTTCCTCCTTCTCTCCTTCCTACTCAGAAGTCTTTGCTTTGAGAGGTAGCGAGTGCAGCAAACTGATTGCTAGTAAAGGAAAATCCAAAAAAAACCTAGCCACCTGACCGTTAAGGCTTCTTTCTTCTGCAGTCATTGAAGAAGTTGTGCTGTTACATCCTTCCTTAGGACTGGGGAGGTCTGTGGGTTATTCCCAGCTGGGTTTCTTTGCTTCCGTTCTCCATGGGTAAAATGGAGATTACAGTACTTTCTCTCCTGTTCTCTGGCTGGTTTGGGCTGCTTTTCAGGCAAGACCAGGGAGGCTCTCCTACCAGGATCAGCACATGCAAGGCCACAGCCCTCAGACAGATCATCTTCCCCTATAAAAGATCAGGAGAGGGCAATACTACCAACATCCTTTGAAATGCGTATTTCACGTTCTTTTTCTCTTCTAAAGAATTAGAAGATAGTTTATGACCTTGACAGGACAGGACAGCTCCAAATGCAGCTGACTAGGGTGCTTGCTTTGATGTTTCATTACAGAAAGGTTTTTCTCCAGTAATAAATACATTTATACCTTTAAAAAGCCATTTACAGAGAACGAACTGAGAAAAAGACACAAGATGAATTATCTACCAGTTCAACCAAAGTGGAACAGAAATATCCTACCAATTTAATGGGAAAAGTCCAGTCTCATTCAGCGGCGTTTTAATTCAACCTTTTGCTGCAAACTTGTATGATTGTTTATATATTTATAGTATATTCAGTATATTATTTCAGTATATTGTTTATTATTATTTCAGTATAAAAGCAAGGCAACGGAAGGCTGAGTTTTGGCAAAGTGCTTCTCCCACTGATTTCAAAATACTGAAAGGAACTTGCGTATTGCATGCTGCTGGCTCTGTTACCAGGAGTCTCTGAATCACATTGGGGTTTTCTTAGCATCGTTTGCTGGAGTGGAGCAACTATGAGAAGAATGTTTTTTTTCTTTTTAAAGGAAGTTGTTAGTCACAGCTGGAGAGAAAGCAGCTTTTTAAAAAACAAACAATTCCCCCCACAACCACCACCAAAAAACCCCAAACCCCTTCAAGGCTTGCAAAAGGAAAGAGCAGGTCTGTCTGTCTTCCTGCCATGATATTTTTAGTCATTTTCCCAGGTTTCTGAGGCTTCTGCTACTGGAAGGAGGGATCCAGGCTGAAGACCCAGGCATTGCATTTTCTAGGCCTGGGAGAGGGGGAATTTCTCTGACCTCCCCTGTTACAGCACTTTCATTGAGATCTAGTTACCATTTAATTGTACCTGAGAGAACTGGGCATTCTGTTTTTTCTGCTGCAGGGGATGTGGGTTTGAGCTAAGAAAACAAGCTGCTTTACTCACATTTTAAGTTTCTCGTTCTTTGTCAAGGAGAGGGAAGTTGAAAACTCGTGTTAATATTAAATATTAGCCAAATAGATGATGATGATATAACAAAGCCTGCCCTTGGTAAGCAGTGTAGTACAGTTAACACATTACTCATTGCACTGTGGGAGGCAGTCTGGGTCAAACGCAGAGGTCGGTGTGTGTTTGTTCAAAGATAAGTCTGACCGTGTTTTTCTTAAAATACAAGTCTCGGCTACCGGCTTCTGCCAGTGTAGTTAGACTGGTTTGCAGGGGAGAGGGAACAGGAGACAAACAGGTAGCTGGGTCAGGTCCTCGAGTGGTGATTTGCAACACCCAGCCAAAACAGCAAATGAGCATGGGCAGGCAAAGCACTAGAGAGCAGGTTCTGGCAGGGCTTGCTTTATAAGGAGGGAAGGTAGGGAAATTGTCTGCTCCCTAGCATCACTTGGGAATATCACCTGGCAAATCCAGGTGGATTTAGGGCAATTGTGATGCCCTTGAGCTCTCCTGTTAGCCTCCTGCGGCACATTAGGCCTTATATGATAAAGAAAGGATCTTGTCAGAGAAGGCTGGCAGCATTTGGTAACATAAATGTCACATCAGCCCTTGCGCATTAAACACTTCTATTCCCTGGCTGCTTCCATGTGCAGGGGATTGGACTTACTGCCTGAGTCGGGTCTGGAGTCACAGGCACAAGCGAGGCTCACACAGGGAGCGCTTTGCAAGTACGGGCAAGACTGTGGCAGGAAGGCAGTGCAGTCCGCAGAGCGCAGAAAGTCCAGCACTCCCATGTATGCAGAAAGTCCAGCAGTCCCATGTAAACAGCCTTCTAAGCTCCTGGAGCCTGACACTGCTACAGAGTACCCACGCTCTCGATCTGCAAATCCCCCAAATATTCATCATGGATTTTTGGCAAGGGGCAAGCTCCGAAAAAGAATGACAATCCTAATGCTGCATTCATTTCTCATTGGCCTTTTTCTCTGCCCAGAGGGAAGCCAGGGATGTTCACCAGATGCTGGCAGACTGCCGCATGAGGGAGTGTGGCTTCCAACAGGTAAGCAGTAATCTAAGATGTTCCTAACACACTAGCTCAGGCCTAGACTTTATCCTGGAACCCCCATCAGCCTCACAGCCTCATCTGAACTGACTGGGTCCTTACCTTTTGGACCAGTTTTATCCAGCGTTGCCACACTCTGATGATGTATGGTGTCATGATTTGGATAACTGGCCAGTGCAGCAGACTGGGGAGTGGCAAGGGGGAGCTGATCCTGATATTTCTGGAGGGTGGTTTCCCCTACTTTCCCTGTTGTAACCTACAGTAAAGAAATAGGGTTTGTGTTGAAGAAATCACAGGACTTCACACTACAGAAAGGAGTTCCCAGTATATGAAGACCAGCTAAAGAGCAGGGCTAAAAATAGGCTGGGGCAAAGCACTGAACACACTGTTTCTTTCATAGACTAAGGAAGCGCAGAAGAGAAATTCAGGACAAGAGACCACAGCCCCCCAGAAAACAATACCACAGAGAGACGCAAGTTCGGAGAGCCAGAGCACGCTGCAGAAATCTGATGAGACTGAGCCTGAATGGCAGGAATCCTGTAAGATCTTAGGACAACCTTTACTTCTGGGGCTCCAATAATCCTAGGGCTCTACATGGTCATCTCAGTCATTCTCCTGCAAGACTGGAACAGGACATACAGTCAGGGGGTGGAGAGTACTGCCAAGACATGCAATGCTGCATTATCAGAAATTTTTCTGAGTCCACACAACACTGAGACTAGAGCAGGGCTAAGAAATGGAAGCTTTATCCTATGGACAACTTCACTGTTTGTAACCATTTCCCATTTTTGGTCTTTTTAATGTTTTGATTAAGCTGAATTCTTAAAATTGAAATAATACAGTTTTAAACATTAACAGCTACACCAAGCACAGTGAGTCCTGCTGACATGTGGCCACCCTCAGATAATTGTATTAAAATAATTAACAAATAAGAACCACTTGAGTATAGCCAGAACAACTCATTTTAAACTAGAAGCTAGCCTTTGGTAGAACTTTGCAGTAACCATTGCTCATGTAGCAATGTAGACAAGTATCATGGGTAGCAGGGACTAACCAAAAATAAGGTAATTACAAAAGCAGTTAAAGCATGGCAAACTCCTTTCCCTGAGTGAATGGCTTCTTTTTATGAAGCCTCTTTGGGCTTCCCAAAAGAGTGGGGAGGACTTTTGCTGCTCAGTAAAACTCAATTCTGTACAGAGGGTCAGCACAAAGCCAGGGTAAAACTCCTTTCTGCAGGACACAGTGCTTCCTTGTGAGGAGGTAGGCTGCTCTGAGACTTTGGAAATAATATGAAAAAGACGCTGTGTGAAATACGAACGAGGGGCCACTTCAAACCTCTTTGCTTTCCACTTTTGTGGCAAGGCACAGCCCTCCCACCTGCTTCCCTATGGCACATGCAAAACCCTGTCCAGGCACAGCCCTGCTGCACCGCTCGCTGCCTCCCCATCCCAGCAGAAACTGTGGGAGACCTTGCTGGCCACTCGGACATAGAAATAACAAGTGCAGCAGAAAAAACCTCTGTGCGGCAGTCAAAGGCTTCAGTGCCTGGGCTCTGGGAGGGGCTTCCCTCTCCCCTCTGTGACTCCCTCATTTCAGTCCACAGTCTGAGATGGGAGCTATTTTCAGTGATGCAACTTGCTCATCATTTTTTAGGCAGCTCAGTATATAATCACTGTGTGGGAAAATACATCTTAACCCAGCTCTCGGAGGGGCAGTTCCAATAGTGCTTGCTCTTCCCAAAATATGAGGTTTGAAGCTTTTTCTTCCCATAACTATGAAGCAAGAGTGGACTTCCACCACGAAATTTCTAATGTAATGAATCCAGAAGATAGGAAAGAACATGGCAGACAGAATGAGACTTGCAATGTCATCCATCACCGCTGCCAAAAACTGAAATCTCTACTTAAGTTACCGTGCTGGCCACATTTCTTTCTAGGATCTCCCATAGAAACCAGTACTTTAAAGGTGATTTTTAAAACAGCATCATCTAAAAAGACATTTTTATTTGATTCCTTTTTCCGGGGTCTTGCGTCCAGCTTCCACAAAGGTTGAGACAAAAGGTCACAAGCTTGATATGTAAAAAATACAGAGAAATACTCTCAGACACACTGCTTGCCTTTGTTTCTACCCAGGTTTGGGTTCTGCTCCTTGCATCCTCCTGTCCTGGGGAAAAATAATACTGAAGGAGAACCAGAGGCATTTCTTTTCCAGTTCCTCCCCTCCTGCTCAGTAGATGGCAATGCTGCACTACAGATTGCTTTCCTAATAAAAATTTCTGAAGTTGCTTACAAAAGCAAGGAAAGAACTGGCTTAACTGACAGACTGTAGAGCTGGTAACTCCTATAGACTCCAGGATGAGCTACTGCATACTTATCAACCTGGATATTCAAGGCAGCTTTTCATCCATTAAAAAAATACCCAGCCAAGTTCTCCACTTTCCTTAAGCTTAAGAGCTCTCCCTCTTATAGTTTCTGCCAGAACTACAGAGACTGGGGAAACGATGTCTACGTTGACGCACAAATTAATTTGAAAAGTAGAAGGTCCCTTGTCCCTCCAATCCTTCTTACACCCGTCCTCTCCAGCCTTTCAAGCAAGAGATGTTGGTCCTATCCGTGAATTAAGTAGGGGTTTTAAGCTCACAATGTCATTATGCAGTAGCTGTGTTTCCTTCCAAGAGGCTGCAGGCCAGCAGCGGATGTACTGAAAGCAGTTCCTTACCTGATTTAGTAACAGTGCGTGTTCCTTCCTGCTTGGATCTCTGCTCAAGTGAGAGGCGCTACAGAAATCTGTGTCCAAAGCCAGGAGTCAGCCGGCAAAACAAAAACGAGTAGTTTCCAGGTACCCAGGGACCTGGTGCCCAGAAAGGGCCCAGGTTTCTGTCTCCTTGGAATAAAAAAAGGGCCCTGTTAAATAGCAGATACCCAAAGGTGATGAGGGACAGATGGCAATTGTTCTCACAAATGAGCACATACCTTTCATACAGTGGCCAGAGCAGCTGAGCCACTACAGGCCTCTGAGGGGGATAACCTGAAGTACCTCCTTGAGCAGAAAGGAGGGGGCGTACCTTAGTCTCAAGATAACCCCCTCCCTTCCCCCCAGTAACCCTGTCTGGGCGCAGAGAAAACCTAAACCCTATGAAACAGGTTATTTCTCCACTTCAGCAAGCAGGGAGATGGCTGAGAGGCAGCAAGCTTAAAACTCGCCTGCTTGTTCGCTCCTGTAGGACTCCTTTTTTGTTCCAGTGCGGAAATCCAAGGCAGCAGATGAGAAGAGACGCTCCCTTGCACAGCATGCCAGGGATGACTACAGGAGGCTTTCGCTGCAAGGCATCCGCAGAGGGAAGCAGGCAAACATTTCCAAGAGTGCCACAGCAGGAGATCGGCGACCACTCCAATACCCACCTCTCCCACCCATTAGGTAAGGAAATCATGCACGCTGCTGAGGGAAGGTGAGGGGAGAAGTGCTGAGGTTCTGCTGCTGCGGTAAGGGTTGATTGAGATGAGAAACGTTAGCCCTTCTCACAGGGAGAAGACACCCTGTGGGGAAGAACCCAAAGTCTAGACCATGTTTCAGGGTGGGATGTGAAGGCCATGGCAGAGCTGTTCGCTACAGCGATGAAGGGTAATTTGCTGACCACCAGAGGGTAGCTCTGTCAGACTGGGATTCTTACTGACATTATTGTTCACCAGAATAAGCCCCCTTAGCAGGAACCCTGTTTCAGTGAAGTCCGTGGAGTGGTGGTTGGGTCTTCCAGTGATTTCCAGCAACTCCAGTGCACCCTACTCACCAGGGCTCCTTGAACCAGGCTAGCTTCTGCCACATCATAACATGTAGGGACAGATGCTGGCTTACTGTAAAGGGACCTCTCTAACTGAAGATACTGGAAATCCAGGCTTGCACCATTAAAAACAAAGATGATGACTGCATATTAGCTGAGTGCCAGCGTCTCTGTCACAGCATGAAAGTTGCACTGTGTGTTCTGGTCCATCTGAGTCAGGAGCAAAACGCCACCAGACCCTGGGAGCTGCTAACCAGCATGTCCTCAGGTTCATGGCCTCAGTCCATGGTTCCTGTCTTCCCACTGCTTTGGCTTTGCTCTTCTTGATAACACCTCCTTCCAAAACGCCCAGCTGCCCTGTGGCACTCAGCTTTTAGAGATTCAAGATAGTTTTCTTGACAAACTCAAGTTCTCTTTCCTGCTTTGTGGGACGGGGAAAATATTTTCTCACCAGACTTAGTGACAAGTTTATTTAGTATAACAACCTAAGACTAGAGTACACATATCCTCTTTGCTAGGTGTCCACTGAAAGCTATACAACAGTGCTGACAGCCCACTATTAACCTTCTGGCTAGGGCTGTTCCCAATACACTTGACAAAAGATAAGTCCTGTCATAGACTGAAAAGCTGCCGTTTGAAGTTGATGCACAAACTGCAGTCTTTTGTAACAGGAAAGAAGGAATCCAGAGGACAGTCTCCAGTTCCACTGAAGAAAGCATCATCAAGTGGTTCAAGGAGGAGCAGTTCCCTCTGCGAGCTGGCTATCAGAAAACCACAGACACAATAGCGCCTTGGTTCCACGGTGAGTCCTGAGCAACTCTGCCCTGACCCAGCCCTTCAGGGAGCTGTTGTTTCTGCTAACAGGCTTGCTGCTGGAGGCTGGGCCCAGGAGCTTTTCCAAGATGGCTAACTCCAAGTTTTCAATTTTAAATCCATATGAATGTGGTTTAGATTGCTCTAGCATTATAACAATGGACAAGCTCAAGTGTCACAGCAGAGGTCCGATCTTCAAAATACCCTGTATGCATTTGAATTTGACATAAAACAGACTGAACTGGCACATCCCCAATCTCGAATAACCTGTGCTAATGCATAATTATCCCAAACACAACGATGTAAGCACAGGCGTAGCCCCATTAAGAATGGCTTGGCAATTAATATGACCACACAGCACCCACTGAAGGCAGTCACAGCTTTTCCCTACCTGGTTCAGACCATGAGTAAGAGCTACCATAATCTCACTTCTGGCCAAGGTCAGGCCTTTCTCTCTGGTGTGCCCAAGCAGCAGCAGCAGGCAGCCCCACTGCAGGCAAGATTTGCCTACACTGTCATCATCCATGAGATGAAGAAACATAGCAATCCAGAAAGTGTTCTTTCACGTGCAGTCAAGCAGTGGAATTGAGATGGGAAACAGAAAAGCCCTCTTGGACACACATGCTGCCACACATACTAGGCCAGTGTCTGATCTGGTGTCCCTTGCTGCATGAAGTGCCTGCTGTCTAACCTGGGCTAACATGGGCAGCTGGCATGGCCAGAGCTTGGCCAGCGAGCACCTGCAGTCAGCTAGCTTTCTGGATGCGCAGCACAGGACCTCCCCTTCTTCCATCCAGTGCCAGACCCAGGGATCCTGAAGCTGCTTTCTGCATTTTGCAAGGTTCCCTCACAGAGCAGTGATGGTCCCTGCTGTTTTCTGAACTATGCAATGCACAGATCCTATCACATGCAGCTTTCAGGCATCCAGCCTCCAGGACAGTGAGGTTTCTCCTGGGAGGTTGTAACAGCAAACGAGGTATCGACCAGCAATTCTTTACCAATGGACCTAATCCTTGGATGTAGCATGCAACTGTCCTGCTGTTTCAGGAATAATGTTCATATTCACAACCTCTAGACCATCTCTCCCTCCCTGTGTGGAATGCATTATAACCCTGGTAATTGTTTGGACTGTACAATGAGGATGATTTTGGCACATCTCACCACCTCATCCCTCTCATCTTTGGCCCTAAGTCTTTATCTCTCCATAGGTACTCATCACCCATCACATTTCAGACCCATTTTGAATGGGTCATCATGATCCTGTCCATCTCCTTTGCTTGGGACATCCCTTTGCTTTGCAACAACAAGTGTCATCCTCTCCTATCTTGGCTTTCAGTGCTTGCGTGGCTTTCTGACAGGATCTGTGATTACCGCTCTGTACAGCATTGCTGTGCTGGAGCCAAACACCCTGCAGTGCTGTTATCTTTCACTTGCAACACAGAAACTGTCCTTTTGAGCTCTGCACATTTATTGTTCAGTAAAAGAACTTGCACCTGCATGCGCATCTGGTGTGCTTTCTGATTACCCCTATTTTCTCACAGCCTTTCAGTGTTTCAGTAAGGTTTTCTACCTGCTCTTGTAAGGGAACACACATGGCAATTTGGTCTTTCATCACTTCCCACGGAAGCCATAAAGCACTGCTCATCTGCTTGTCTTTACTAGGGGGACAGAGAAGGCAATATATCTCCTCTGTATCCCCAACTGTTGGAGGCTGGAGGATGGCATCTGCTACCGGAGGACTAAGAACAACTCCTATAAAAGCAATTGTAAATCTGACAAGTGCCCAAAACTGGTTCAAAGAAAGGGAAGAGAGGTCTTCTGCTTATCTATCTTATTCAAGAAAAATGTAATTATACCAAGAAAAAGAGACAGAAGTAAAGGAAGCAAGAGAACGAGAGAATGACAGAAAAAGGGACCAAACATTTTTCTTAAATTTTCTCAAAAGCTAGATCCACACATACCATCAATTACAATTCTGTGCATCCTCCTTCTATATTGTGGGCGGCTTCCAAATCTCTCTTCTGGGTCAGTTTGGGACATCTTTACCTATGCAAGCAGGATTTAAGAATAGTTCCATTTTCACAGTCTCTGGCTTTTCGTCCAAAGGATCTACTCCGAAGGACCTAAGATGCCCATATTCTCCATCAATACTCTTGACCAAAATCGTAATCAGCCAAACTGAATGCATATGCAGTAAGGTTTTATTGTGGGGGTTACAGTGTTAAGAGAGGAAAAATGCACAGAATTTGTGGGGAAAAGCACACATGCTAACACCTGTAACACAACTCATACCTCCATCTAGAGTCCTGGATGACTGGCCAGCAAGTCAAAAGGTCTGTGAAGAGTCAGGGTTCCTCAAACAGGCACACAGAGCGAGGGGCAGAGCTGGGCTTTTCAGAGCAGGCAAGTAGAGATACAGCGTCCTTGAAGCAGGTAGGAAGAACAAGCAGCGAGCATAAGCCAGGACTGCTGGAGGAGGCAGGGAAAGCAGGTGGACATACGGCTCCAACAATCCTACAGTAGTTTCACAATGACAGTTCTCATGATGACAACTCCTTCCCCCCCTCAAATTCAAGATCTCGACCTTTTGTAAAATATTTGAGTTTCCAGACAGCTCCTAGCCTTTGATCTCTTCACCTTGCACTATGTACTGCATGATGCTAAAGGGTGTTACTTTCTCAGGCTGTGGCAGGTGCCTTATGGTGCTTGCTTTTTTTTGGTACTTTTTTTTACTTAGCTGCTGCTTTTCTTTTTATTCTTAAAGTAGTCTTTTCCCAGGTCTCAAAGCTGCGCTTCTTCAATGACCAGCAGTTGCCTCTCAGTGAGTTGTTTACAGTTCTGGGGCCTCTGTTTTCAACCGGCGCACGCATTTCCAAGGCCTCTGCTATCATCCCATGTTTAAACTGTACGAGAGACACCTAGTACCAAGCTCCACTTCATAAAGAAGTTCTCATAACCACCCAATAACAAGCCTAATAGACTAGGACTGGGGCCTGGAACAGTGAGCATAAAGCACAGTTAGCATGACACCATGGCCTGCTACTAGCAATGGCGATACTGTTTTTTCTGGGCCACTGAGCAACAAAACATGCAAGGGATGGAAGTGCTATGGATTGGTTTTAGGGTGGTATATGAAATTTTTTGTGAGAACCGTTCCATCCACTTTTGCATAAGTGCTTTTCTCCCTTCATTTTGTGTCTTGGTTTTGAACAGGTATCCTAACCTCCAAGAAAGCAGAAGACCTTCTGAGTAAGGCACCACCTGGGAGTTTTCTACTCCGGGTCAGTGAAAAAATCAAAGGCTACGTGCTCTCCTATCAGTCTGTGGAGGGATGTAAACACTTCCTTATTGATGCTTCCGGTGATTCCTACAGCTTCCTTGGAGTGGATCAGCTAGAACATTCAACACTGGCTGACCTTGTTGACTACCACAAGGTGAACCTCTAGCAATGCATTCATTAACTGTTTGTTTTCATAATTGCCTCAGGGCATTTCAAGACAAAAAGGGAGAGATTCAGCTGTCATCACATACGTGGCTAAAGCCATTTTAGCCACCACTGGGTATCCTATGTGCTGTTCCAGAACGCTGCGGTTCTCCTATAGGAGGTCCCACATTTTATGTGCCTGCCCTATGGGGATATCTTGGACAACCTAGGGCATCTCAAATCTCTTGGAACCTGAATCGCTCCATCACTCTCCCTGAAGCGTGCAGAACACCTTGCACATGGGGCTCAAGTTACTACATCCTATTTAACAGAAGTGCTGATAAGGTGATGGGTGGCAGAATTACTCAGACTACTTTGACTACTTTTTGGTATCTCTCTGTGGTCGGGTGTCACAGCAAATTCTGTAAGCAGAAAATATTGCCTGTCTCCAGCTTCAGAATGAAAGAGAACAAGGTATCTTTATAACCTCAAAACAGGCTAGGCATGATGTTGAGTAAGCAACACAGCAAATAACGGAAGGCAAAGAAGGCAGCTCTTCCTCTTGTAACAGTAACAGAAGTGTTTACTAGCACTGACCACAGTTGCATAGGCTCAAACGAGGGCCAGACGGAACATGGATTTGTTTAGTGTAAGAACTGCGTAAGGACAGGACAATCATTTTGTCTAAAAGGTCCATTAAAATCTGTGTTTCTTTTAAATAAATGCCTAGCGTAATACAGATGTGGCTAAGCTAAGCTGGACATGAGGAAAATAGTATCCGTGCTCATCTGCTGGACAAACAGCACAATGGGGAGCTCTATCCAGGCTACTCTACCTTGCTTCTTGTGTCTCTTTCACAGCCCAGGCTGAGTTCTTGAAAGCAAGACCTAGATAGCTATTGATACCAGAGCCGGACAGTTTAAAGCCAGGCTGGATATGTCTATATTAAAGATAGAGCTATGTCCACAGTCTGCACAGAATCCTACAGGCCCCACTGCGCTAAAGCAGATGTTCACTTGCGCAAAGTGGGTTCAACTGCTGAGTGGGTTCTGCTTTGTCATCCAGTGGGTTATCATGAAAGAAGGCAAGCTCCCACCAAACATCTGCTACGGGGGTCAAGAACAAGAGTGGAAGCAGAGACTGTTCTTCCAAGAAGTTCCCGTGTTTGAACAGGGCTCGTATGAGAGGAGGGCACATGTTCATTCCAGGATCACCTTTGTCATTCTCACAAACACAGCCAGACGCATGACACTCGTGCACCCCTACCTGCACTAGCACAACAGCACACCAAGCTTGCAGTCCTACTTACTTGCATGCTCTACAGTCCTCACTTCAGCACTTTGCAGATGGGGCTGCATTTCACACTGTAGAAGCTGAGGTTGCCTACAAAACAAGCACAGCTCTTTCCAAGAACTGCCAGAATCCTGCTTTGGGTTATTTCACAAAGCACAGACACTGTTTCATGAAGGCAGAGACGAGCCACAGGGATCCTTCCCCTGAGTTCCCTGGGCTCTGAGCTGTATCATACGATGAGATGAACAGGTCCACATGCTAATGGAGGCAGGGAGACTGCTGCCTACTCCAGGGATTTTGTGATAGATCAGGTGTACCCTGGCTTATTTTGAAAGGTGGCAGTTTAACTGTATTCTCTACCAACAGGAGGAGCCCATCACTTCCTTGGGGAAGGAGCTGCTGCTTTACCCGTGTGGCCAAGAGGACCAAGAACCAGATTACCTCGCTCTCTTTGAATGAACCTACCAGTCTCGCTATGCAACCTCAAGCCTATTTTCATAAAGACTGTACTTTGAAGCATAGCTGCCGACGCTTACCTGAAACAGTTGCCATAAGTGCCTCTACTTTAAATTCTTCATACGAAAGCAGGGGGAAGATAAAAGTACTGTTGTGGGCTTGTATCAGCTGAGTCACAGCATGCAGCAGCCCAGTAAGCTAAAGCACCTAGATGTAACAACGCACATTGGAATGAATTAGATGACAGGGTAATCCCTTGCACAGGGAAATACTGCCACGTATTTTCTATGAGTTTTTGCAGGTCCTTGGGGAATATCTACGTTCAAGCTGCCTCTTGCTCTTGAATGCAAGGCTGTGTGCCATCTGGGAAAGAGACTAGTATCTACAACTGAATGAGATCATACCTTCCTGAAGGCACAAATCAACTTGGAGAGGTGAATCAGTCTTGATAGTAAACTGTATAATGTGAAGCTTAATCCTGTGAGACGCTGTGCCCTCAGAATCAAGGATGTTCAGCAAAACACTCAAACAAATCCTTGATGCCTCTAGGTGAAACCCCTTGTGAAGTGGGATTTTCATGAAACATGCATTTTTTTTAAACTCCTTTAGTTTCTGAAAATTTAACCTGTGTCTAAAGCTGACATTGGCCTTTCTGCATAGACAAGAGATTAACCTTTTGAAAAAGAGGGGAGGAAGGGATATAGGAATTTTGTCTGAAAGGCTTTAACACATTCACAGAGCCTAAGCAATGTAGGAAGCGGTGCCTCTATCAGTATTAGTACAGTTTACAGAGAAGTGTTTGCCAGTAAAGAACGCTATTTTCCAGAATGGAGCTGTTTATTGCAAATTGCGTCCAAACTACAGAGATGCGTCTGATGTGAACTTTAACACACAACTTCTTCTTTCCACATAATGTTCTCCCTTCATATCTGTTCTATTGCTCTTTAAATACACAGCTGAGGATATAGGATATTGGGGAAGAAGTTGGACACAATCACATAACAAACACATCCTCGCCCAGATCCCCTGAATTTGAGTTGCTGCATGTAGCAAACCATATGACCGAGGATTGTTTTTCAAGTCCACTATCATCATTTGTTAGAGATGTAATCCTCAAATAGTGAGCCAAAGTCAGCCTTTTCTCAGTTGTTTATCTGTTTCCTTCTTTCTGTTGGATGGGGGCTTCTTTGCCTAATTTGAAGAAGCAGCTAAAAACTTCACTCTTTTTTTGGACAGAGCATCTAAGCCATCCTCTTTCTGACCTGTCGGTTTGAATGTGATACACCTGCCATCACTTGAAATCCCAACCCTTCAAAAAAACTCACTTTAGCCTACAATAACATCTAGTGTCAATACAGGACATAGAAGGTATGTTGACCTGCATTCTGCAGGATACAGATTAAAAGAAAGTCTTGTGATCATCTGGTCTTAAAATTCACAGCTATGCTAATAGGTCATTTCCATACAAAGGAAGGAGGGCATAATCTGCACTCCAGTTACAGCTGGTTTAACTTGCTAGAGATAAAGCCTTAATGTAAAGTGAGCTTCTGAAAGTAACAACACTCTGGGAGGGCAAATGAATTATGGAGTTTCTTGAGCACTAGGATATCACATATATCAAGTGGCTATTTTCAAGATAATCAGCACCATCAGCTGTGGGAGAGGGCACACCATTCATAGGGAAAAAAAAAAAGCCCTTCTTCCCTCTTACTGAACTGTATTTTTTTTTAAATACAGCCAAACTAAAAGGTTGTTCAGAGATCTGCATCACTAGAGAAAAGTTAGCATCTGTTTTCATGTGAACAGCATCCAATGTGCCACAGCTGTTGTCCTGTTGGAGACAATTCATGCAGCCTTTTGTATGCCTATGGCTGGTGAAGACGCTTCATGTGACGAAGTCTCCTTTAAAAGGGCAGTTTGAGAGGCAGGACCTTAGCTTATGGAAACAAGGTGCAGGCTGATCTGGAATGGACACAGCAGCACCACCAATTTTAGCACTAGCATCTATACAAGGACTCCTCAGTGCTTGGACCACTGATCAGCAAACTGGTACCTTCACACATCTTTATCTTCTAACTACTTATTTTCAAGTGTTGGCTCAGCGGAGCCCAGGGAAAGCCACTGCCAGTGTTCACATCTATCCCATGCCTTTGAAGAAACCATGCCTCAGTGTTGAAAGACTCTTAGCTTCACATAACTGCTGTGAAGGAAGAAACTTAAAAGTTTTGTACTTCTACATTTAGTTTACCACACTGACTGCAAAGGCAGCATCCTTGCTGGAACAGGTGTTCTCAAGACCAGCTCTGCCAATTCTCTGATGTCTGGTTACCCTGAAATTCAGGGAAACTAGGATGACTTGAAGGAGTTGGGAACTGGAAATGCTGGTTTTGCTCATCTTGGGGAGTTTCTCTATAGAATCTTTTTTTCTTCAAGTGATGTTGTGCATGGATTACTAGGGTAGCCATGTTTGAACACTGTTTGCTGGAAAGATCACAATACCGGTGTGCCTTTAGCCAGAGCATACAACAATCCCCAAAAATTAAAGCAAGGAGTTGCCATATGGCCTCTGCCCTTGCTACAGCCACAGCTGCAGCTCCGCACAGGCATGGAGCTCTCCATCTGTCTCTCTCTCTCTCTCCAGGCAGTTGCAACATACCTCTCTTCAGCTTCTTCACCTGAGAGGTGTCTTGTATTCCCTCCCCAACTAACACTCAAAGTTGCTATTCTGAGAAAGATCACAAGTGGAGTGGGGAGTTGTCTGGGTCTGGGGCAAGGAGGGTAGAGAGCTGTCTGCTAAAACCTACTGTTCTGTTGGATGCTGTCTGCATTTCATCTGTTTCTAGCTGTTAGAGCACCACTTAGACTCACAGAGGCGTAATGACAGCCTCCCTTTCTTCTGTTCTTTTTTACCCACCCTCATCAGTGCAGTTTCCACATTAAAGACAGCTCTACCACAGCCCTACCAGACTTCTGCTGTGATTAGACTCCCCTGCAGATTACTGGGGTGGTCACTGACCACTGGCTGGCTCTCTCCATCTTTGATTCAATCCCACCTCTTACCAAACTGGGTTCTGCAGCAAAGTGACAGGAACTTGCACAGGTCTGACAGGAGGAAAAGCATCTCTGTGGAAAAGGATAGACAAGAAAATCACAAAAGAGCTATTAAAAATGTAACTCGTGAAATTCTGACAGGGGCTGAATGATGTGCTTGCTAAAATACCAAAGTAGGGAAGTGTCAAACAGCTGCCTAGTGCATGGCGCCTAGAATTAGAGTAACATACTTTGGAAGGGACCTCTTGAGATTTATCTGGTCCAATCCTGCTGTACAAATGGGGCCAACCTCTAAGTTACAGAATCACAGAATGGTTTAGGTTGGAAGGGACCTCTGGAGATCATCTAGTCCAACCCCCCTGCTCCAGCAGGCTCCTCTAGAGCACCTTGCCCAGGATCACATCCAGACGGGTTTTGAATGTCTCCAGCGAAGGAGACTCCACTACCCCTCTCCGGGCAACCTGTTCCAATGCTCTGTCACCCTCACAGTCAAGAAGTTTTTCCTTCCTGTGCTTCAGTTTCTGCCCATTGCCTCTTGTCCTGTCGCTGGGCACCACGGAGAAGAGACTGGCCTCATCCTCTTGACACTCCCCCTTCAGATACTTGTACACGTTTATGAGTCTTCTCTTCTCCAGGCTGAACAGGCCCAGCTCTCGCAGCCTTTCTTCAGAGGAGAGATGCTCCAGTCCCCTCATCCTCTTTGTAGCCCTCCGCTGCACTCTCTCCAAGAGCGCCATGTCTCTCTTGTACTGGGGAGCCCAGAATTGGGCACAGGACTCCAGGGGAGGCCTCACCAGGGCTGAGCAGAAGGGCAGGATCACCTCCCTC